GGTCATGGGCCGGATGGATGATGGATGGGTGGACAGTGGAGATATAGGTGGAAGGAAAGAATAAATGGAAGAGCAGATGGTGTGTGGGCCAATGAATGGATGGATGGACAGATGGACGGGTGCACGGATGCACGGATGGATGGTGGGCAAACGAGTGGCTGGATGGGAGGATGATAAATGGGAGGGTAGAGAGTGGACGATAGGAATGAAGGGCAGATAACTGCAACTGAAAAACAAGAGGAAAAGGACTAGAGGGCAGTAACTCCTCCACTGCCATCCCTCCACCCCTCAGTGAAGAGGAGAAAGCTGAATGCAGTTTCTCTGCTAACTGGAAAATCCCCTGGCGAGGATTCCAGGGAAAGCAGAGAGAGTGTGTTGATTTTTCAGGAGTTGAAAAAACAAGAGCCTTGTGTGGGTGATAAACTTTGAGATAGCTTAATAAAAACAGAGGCACTAGAATCTGATTAAGCATTTTCCCCCTTCCCAGCAACTACCACTTTGCCAGGAAATTTAGCTGCTTAATCCCAAACTGTGTGTCTGTGATTTGGGAGGGGGCAGGAAGCCTCCAATAAAATATGCCTGGATTAGGAGCTCCGTGCCCTGTGGCTCCAGGGTGGGGCCTGGGAATAGGGCCACGCTAGACTCTGGTGCTCTGATCAGACCGGTCCCAGGTGCCGTCTCAGAATTCTGAAGCACCCACCAGGAACCGGGGACTTTAGGGCATTTGTTCTCTAAAAAAAGATCTATTTATTTAATTCCATTTGTTATTATTATTTTTAATTTGACCAGAAAGAGACAGAGAAGGAGAGAAAAGGAAAGTGAGAAAGCAAGCTGCCAAGTCTAGGACTCAAACCGCAGTGGGCCATGTGGGCATCCAGTGCCTTTAACCACTGCGCCACCTGCCAGCCCTTGTTCTCTAGTTATTTAGGCAAGCTCATGCCGGCCTGGCCTGGTGGCACAGCTGACAGTAGCACTGGAAGCCGCAGGGCCGGCTTTGGGTTTGGTTTCCTGGGTTGGCTCAAAACACACTAAATGCCCAAGATGCCGAGGAGTTGGAGGGCTAGGAAAGGGGGTCGCGGAATGATGAGACCACGTCAAGGGTCTCTCACTCTCTCTCACGTGTGCTCTCTATCATGAGTCAAGCACAAACGCTTAAAGAAAGAAAGAAAGAAAGAAAGAAAGAAAGAAAGAAAGAAAGAGAAAGAAAGAAAGAAGCCTCATGCAACCCGTAAGCTGTTCTACCTCGTGAATTCTGCTCAGGCCCTTCGGCCAGGCAGCTGGGTTCTGGGGCGTGATCAGTGAGCAGCAGGCTGCTCCTCCCAACCCCCATCCCCAACCAGAGCCCAGAGCTTCCAGCTTCTCATGGGGGAAGCAAAAGCAACCCCCAGTCTCAGGAGAGGAGGCTCTGAGGCATGTGGGCCAGCTTCCTAATTTCTAGAACCACTTTAGGAAAGAGAAGAGAAAACGCCTAGAAAGCACCGTGGCATCCCACCCCACTTAGAGATATCGGCTCGTGCGAGGGGGTCAGGTCCTCATGGTCTAAGCCACTTAGAGATATCGGCTCGTGTGAGGGGGTCAGGTCCTCATGGTCTAAGCACAGAGGCGTCCTGCGGCCTGCAGCCTCGTCGACGTGCCAGTCACAGGGCACTGGGCTAGCACTGTGCTGGGGCTGCACTTCTTTAACCCAGCACAGACCATACCCCAGACCCGGGGATCTACCTGGGATAACTCCCCAGCCCTCTTAATTCCCCAGTGAGTCCTTCACCGTGGCCTAATCTAAGACCAAATGACCCTCCCTACTTTACACCGCCCAAAAGGACAACACTGAGATTTGCATCAAGTCTGACTCCAAAGTCCGCGCTTTTTCTGCTAAGAACTCGGTGAAATGTACCCAAGAGGCCTCTTCTCTGGCAGCTGGGCAAACATTCTGCATCCCAGACCGGGGGCAGCTTTTTATGGAGATAGCTCCAGTCTTTGTCAGTCCCCGCATAGCAGCGACGGCAACCCTCCCCACACTCCTGGGCTTTGTGGCCACTGGGGGAGAGGGAGCGGAAGGGCATGGGTGGGGTGGTGCGCCCATCAGTTCGGAGACTTTGGAAGCTGGAAGAGCCCTTTCGAGTGATCCAAGCCACCACATCCTTTCCCAGAGGGGAACTCTGAGGCCTGGAGAGGGCAAGGATTTGGTCACGGTCACACGAGGGAGCAGAGGCAGCCACCTGGCTCTCAGCCTGGGTCCCCTCCCCACCTCAGCTCAGCTCAAACAAGCCGTGACATTGGGCCCATGTTATCAGATAGAACGAATGCTTATCGGATTTGACGTTACTGGGGGAGGGGGCAAGCAGGGGTTGGGTGAGATGCAGAGGGAGGAAGTGAGCAGGGCGCTGCCTGACCCCTGGCTCTGTAGTGGAGGCGCTGGGCTGGGCTGGGCTGGGCTGGGCTGGGCTGGGCTGGACCAGGCCCGGCTGGGCCAGCCAGGAGGAGGAACAAGGTAACCTGTAGAGCAGGTCCCAGTGTGGCTGGGACAGTTCCCTGCTTTCCCAGTCCCCTTGGAACAAGGGCTGCCTCTGTTCCAGGGATGAGGAAGACCAGGGAATGCGGGAGAATGCGGCTCCCATTCTGCTGATGGGCAAAGGGAAGGTGCCCAGCAGCTGAGTGGAGGCACCTCCTGGCAGCAATGGGACACCCGTCAAGCTCCCATTCCCTTCAGCCTGGTTTCCTGGAACCCAAGGGTTCCTTGTCCCCATGCCTGGATATCCAGGGAGAGCTCCACTCACCAGGGAGCTGTCTCCCACTGTGGGGAGACACAGACTGGATTCAGATCCCTGCTTTCCCACCTCCCGGTCCTGTGACCTGAGTCTCAGGTTTCCCGCGATAGGGCTGGCATCCCAAGGTGCCACAAGGATAAGATGTCGAGGCCCTTCCAGCCTCAGAAGCGACTGGGGACACTACATGGGGCAGTTACTTCTTTCCGTACTGATTTTCTGTACGCGTCTTGTGCTGAGGAGCTAAGGACACGCTCAGCCAGGACCCTCATGCGCAGTCTGCAGGGAGACCGCCGGGAGGCGTCATCAGCCTCTGCACCCAGGCGGCAGCCCAGGCCACAGGAGGCCGAGTGGCTTGCCAAAAGTCCTGTTGCATTTAGAGGCAGAAACAGGACCAGAACCCGTGGTTGGTGAGTCCCCCGCAACCCAGCCCAGCCCAGAGGTAACCAGTGGGAAGAATGAGAAATCAGGAGTCCAGTGAGGTGGTCCCAACCCTTGGCCATGCCATGAACACAGTGTGTGACCTTGGCTCGTGACCTTGAATGGTGGGTGTCTTCAACTTTCTGACTGATGATGGCAGTCGCTGGCCGTCTGTGTGACCCTGGGCAAGCTTTCACCTCTGAGCCTCAGCTTTCTCATCTGCGAAGTGGGGCCTGTCAGGAGGACTGGAGGAGCCACGGTATGCGGGAGCCTGGCACAGAGCATGTGGTGAGTAGCCGGGAAGTGGCCCTAGCAGTGCAGTGGTGGCAACGCCAACAGGCAGTCACCAGGAGAGGGGGAGGACAGACCCCATGGCCTGAGGACTTCTGCCATGTGACTGCCCCAGAAAGGACACCTAGAGGAGATGTCAGAGACTCTCCTCTCCCCTCCCAGACATCCCCCTGAAACCCTGAAATCCCACCTACTGACAGCCCCGGCTGGAAGGATGGTGACAGCCCACCGAGAGGAACTCGGCAGCCATGACACTTGTGTCCCAGTCAAGGATTCCCCAAAGAAAAGACCACAGAGAGGAGAAGCCAGCCTCCGTGTGGAGTATGCTAGATTAGGAGCCAGGACAGAGGGTCTGACTCTGTGGCATCTCTTGGCTGTGTGACCTCAGGCAGGTCACCTGGCCTCTCTGAGCCTCCATCCCTCAACTGTGGGGATAACCATGAGGGAGATTACAACTTGGCCTCACCGTGGCCAGCAGGACCCCCTCGCTAGTAAGCCTCCTCACCAGTGGAAAAGTATGGAGCTCCACTAAGCTCTAGAAGCAGACGTGCCTGGGCTCAAATCTCAGCTCTCCCTTTTCAACTACGAAACCTTGAGCAAGTTACGTGGCCTCGGTTCCCGTTTCCTCAGCTAGGAACGGCTGACAGCGTTCTCTCTTGGAGGTTGTCAGAGGCTGAGCGAGCACACGCACCGTGCTTTCTCACAGTCCCAGCCCGGAGCAAGTGCCCAGTTACGATGACACCATCACGCACCAGACAGCCACCCGCAGGAAGATGCTGCCCCCAAAGGCAGAGAGCTCCCCACCACCGCTGTGGGTGTAAACCCCCTCATGCCAGGGTGGGCAGGCAGTGCCACCTGGCCGGCCTTTCAGAGGCCTTCCAGCTGTTCCCGCCAGAGAATCTGCCCATGCTGCATCCCCCCAGCCCTTGCTGTGGCCAGACTGGGCTGGGAGCAGAGGGGACAGCCAGGCTGGAAAAGCCGGGGAGGGCCAGACAGGAACAGGCTCTGGGGAGCAAGCAGGGGGCACTGAGCAGGGGTCAGCCTGTCTACCTTCCAGCCACGGCTCTGCTGCCAACCCACCCATCCCCTGTGAGTTACCCCTCTCCTCCGGGCTCCAGCTTCCCCAGCTGTGAAGTACGTGTTGAGGTGCTTTGTGGTTATACCCAGCTGCAACCATCAAACCCTGTGACCCTAAGAAGGAAGTGGGGAAGTCCCCACCGCCTGCATGCCTCTGCAGGCTCCCTTCAGGCTCCTCGCCTCCTCACCCCACCCCTGGCCTGCAAGGTGGCCACAGGGTCAGGGTCATAACCCCGAGGCTCCAGGACAGTTCTCCTAGCGAACCCATCCTAAGACATCCCCTCTTCCACCCCCACCTGGGGGAGCAGGGTGTCTCTGGGCCTGGAGCCCGAGGTCAATGGTCAATGTCACCACAGGACACCCACCCTCCAAGACCGCCACCAAGGATCCCTCTTCAACTCAGCAAGGGACAGAAATGACCCAAAAAGATAAAAAAAAAGGAAAACTCACCTGAATTCTGTGTGCCCAACTGCAGTCCTCAGGGAGGGGGTGCCAGAGATGGGGGCCCCACAGCCAGAGACGGCAGGCCCCACTGGTGGGAAAGGTCCCGTCTGTCACAACAGCTGGCAGCGCAAGCAGGAGCCCAGAAGTCAGGTACACTGGCTTCCCTGGCTGGGTGTGCGGAGGGCCCAGGCGTGTGAGTCACTCACCTGCCAGACCTGCCGAGCGGGCAGGCAGGGAGAGGGCGGGCAGGCAGGAGGGTAGGAGGCGGCCCAGGCAACCCAGAGGAGGCCCTGGCAGCCAGGTTGGACCAGACTGGGCCTGGCCGGGCCATCTGACAACCCAGGCTGGGAGGAAGTTGGCAAGAGGGAGATTGGGGCCTCTCAGGGGGGTGTCACAGTAGGGCTGAACTCTAACTGCTGCTGCGGGCCCAGAAAGGGGCACAGGGCGGGCTAGAGGTTTCCTGCGGGCCTGGACTCTCTTAGTCAGAGAAGATGGGAAAGAATACATGGTGAAGTCAGAAAGATCCGGGTTTGAATCCTTGCTCTTTCCTGCCCTGTGACCTCAGGCATGTGGCCGCGACTCTCCGAGCCTCAGTTTCCTTCTTATTAACCTAGGGTAATAATAATAGCCCCACCCACGGGGTTCTCGTGAGAATGACATAAGACCATGTAGGAGTCTGGTCCTGAGGGAACAGGCCTTAGGGTGGCTCTGATTACGACGAGGCCTCTGTGGGAAGGCAGGCCCAGCACACGCAGGACCCTGGCCTCGTCCGCTCTCTCTCTCAAACTTGTTCTTTTCATTGACACATAACAATTGTAGAGCTGGCCCCATGGCTGGTGGTTTAGGGAATCGGATCCCCGAAGGCCAGCTGTGTTTCAAAATCCAACCTAGGCAGCTTGAAAAACATGCCAGGCACGTGTGGTGTGTGCCCGAGGTCCCAGCAGGATGGGGAGACACAGGAGAAGGGACTGGGGCATGACGATGCCCCATTGGGGGTGCTTTCTCCCTCCCTCTCTCCTTCCCTCTCTCTCTCTCTCTGGTGAGCACATGTGCCCTCTGGCAACAAAGTGAATGAAAAAAAAATTGTGCATATTTCTGGCGCATGTGTGATGTTTCAGCACCCGTACACGATAGGCAATGATCAAACTGCAGTAATTAACGTCTCTATAACCTCCCACATCCATTGTTTCTTCGTGACGAGAGCTTTCAAAATCCTTTCTCGAAGCTATTTTGAAATAATATATTATTGCTAGCCTTAGTCTCCCTGACTCTGCAATAGAACACGAGAATTCGTTTTTCCTTTCTGTCATATAAGTCCGTACCCATCTGGATCCGGCTCCCCCGCACCGCGCTTCCCGCCGCTGGGAACCACCATTCTCCCTTACTCCTATGAGATCAGCCTCTCAGGTCCCACAGCGAGTGAGTTGGAGGGTTTGTCTTCCTCTCTGTGCCTGCCTCATCTCACTCCACAGGGTAGTCCCAGGTCTGTCCCTCTCGCTGCCATTGACAGGATTTATGATTATTATTATTATCATCATCAGTATTATTAGCTAAGTAGTATTCCATTACTTAAACATACCATATTTTCTTTATCCATTTATTCACCAATGGACACGTAGATTGATGCTGCATCTTGGCTATTGTAAATAGCACTGCCTTCTCCCCCAACACACACCCTCAGACAGTCCACCAGAGAGAGCGAGAGAGAGAGAAAGCACCCCAATAGGGTGCACGTGGGACATACACACCACACCTGATGCGCGAGTCCCTCCTGGGATGCTGCCGACCTTGGGACCGGAGCTAGACTGCCCCGGGGTGAAAGGCACGGCCCTGGCTGTGGAATGGGACCGCGGACGGCGGCAGGGACTGTGAGTACACCACCGAGTGTGGCACACGCGGGCAGTCGCCACAGAGCACTGCCATCTTCATTAGCAGGGCTGGGGGATTGGTGACGGACACGGAGGCGGGAAAGGGCCTCTCCCCTGCAGGGTAACAGCGGCGGACCTCCCCCTCTGGAGGACTCGGCCGTGGGTGGGAGACACTCTTTGTTCTGGAGCTTTGCAAAGAGGGATTCCACCCACAGCCTCCCCACCTGCATTCCCGCACCTTCCCTTAGCCCTCACAGGGGACCTGTGCAGACGGGGAGGCCCCACTCTCTCCAGAGCCTCACCCCAGAAGGACATGCCTCTCCCATCTCACCACTGCTGATGGAAAAATAACCAACCGTAAAAATGAATAATTAATACTCAATGCGGTTTATTTCCAAGCCAAACGTGAGTGCCCTAGGTCGGAGAAGAGACACACATGCCTTTTCTCGGGGTGATCCTGTACAGAGGTTCCTTTTATTTGGTTTTGAGATTGACAGACAACATTTAGTGAAGAGATTTTTCCATTGGTCTGGCCCAAAAAGGCAGGACATGTAGAAGGGGAGGGGGCTTGTAGGTTATAGGTGGGTCCACAATTCTTAGGTTGGTGATTGGAAGGGAAGATCTGTGTCTTAGTTAAAGAAAGGCTTAATCTACATCTCGAGGAAAAGGGAAGTTCTGTGTCTTGGGAAGAGATAAGCACAATATACTATAATTGGTTGGAATATGCATCTCAAAGATACTATGTCAGGGACAGGAGGTAGGAGGAATCCTGTTAATAGAAAATAAATGGTCTATTAATGTTTGTGGGCATGACTTCCCCAGCCCCTTTTGGAAAATAGGAAAAGTAGTCAGACTTCTGTCCACACCACCCAGAGGCTGGCCTGAGCCTTCAGACCCCGAAGCAGCAGCACCAAAGGTCAGGGGTGTGGCGAGAGCTGTGGATGGACTGTCTGCCTTGATGTTTTTCTTTGGAAGCCTGAACCAATCCCCTCCTCATCTCCTGAAAGGTGGCAAGGCCACTGGCATCTCCTCACCTGCTCTCTGGGGGCTGGGGATCTCTTCTCTTGCACCTCCCCATCCCAAAGGCCCAGGTGACAGGGGAGGAGCCACCAATCCTGAGAAAGAATTAGTAAGTCTGCCTCCACTTCCTTTGCCCAAACTGCGAGAGGTGAGGGAGGCTCGCCTCTCAGCGCCGTAGCATGACAAGGCCCAGCGCTGCCCTGCATGGGGAGGCTGTGCCCTCTGTGTGCCAGCAGTGGGGCCGAGCTCTGCCGTAACCACCGAGACGGTACCCCCGGAATCCCCACCCCAGGCCTTCACCCGCCTCATAGGCTTGACCATCCGCACAGGGCCCAGAAGTAGTGACATGCCAGGCTTCCTGCTACCTGAGGCTAAGCTCTGAGTTAGAAATAGCACCTAAGTGCCCAGCCCCACCCGCCGGACCCCCTGCCCCCTCCTCACTGCAGCTCAAGCCATCGCCCAAGGAATCCTGGGTCCCAATGATTTCTTGCTAATTCCAAACACCAGACCCATCCTAGAATGAATGTGATCTCCACTGAGCACGTTTTCAGCTGGGCTGATGGCTCTGAGGTCATTTCGGAGAGCAAAGGTCAGGAAAGTGTCAGAGCCTCTGGGCAGTGCCTACTCTGAAGGAACAATACCCCCTTAGGAGGAAAAGCACTTCTGCGGTAAGAACAGAGTCAGAGAGAACTTTATGGGTCACGCCCTGCTTTGCAGACGCTTCTTGTCTGTTGGGGAGATGCTGCCAACACCCCAAGTTCCTGAAAGAACGATTTGACTTTATAATCTTCGACTAATACTGCGTGATCTTCCAGGAACTGGGCCAAGTACTCTGCACACATAATTTCATCTCATTTCCCCAACAGCCTCAGAGGGACCCCTTATTCTGTTTGGAGGGTGAGGGGGCCAGCCTGTGGCATGGTGGTCAAGGAGGATGGACTCCACATGTTCGGCTGTGCGGTTCAAGTCCTGGACCAGGCAGCTTGAGAAACAAGCTGAGCACATCAGGTGCATGTATGCCCAAAATCTCAACAGGAGGGAGAAATGGAGAAGGGATTGCAGCTTGGCCAGGCCCCACGGAAGGTGCTTTCTCACTCTCTCTCTCATTAGAGTGCGTGAGCCTTCTGACAAACTTGAAAGAGAGAGAGGAAAAAAGAAAGAAAGAAAGATGGGACCAGCAGATGCTGTAATGGTTAAATTGCTGGGCTCCCACGTACCCAACTGTGGTTTGAGTCCCAGACCTGGCAGTTTAAAACTCACACCGGGTGCATGTGCATGTGTGTTCAAAATCCCAAGGGGAGACTGGACGAGAAGAGATTGAGATGTGGCCATCCCCCCTGAGAGGGGATTTCTCATTTTCTGTCTCTTTATCTCTCTGCCTCTCCAGCAAGCATATACACCCTGTAGCAAAAATCTCTTCCAGAAAAAAAGAAAAAGAAACAAACAAAAAGAAAGATGGAAAAAAAGAAAGGAAGAGAAAGATGGGGAAACTGAGGCTTACCAAGGTTGTCAAATGTCACACAGCTCGTAAGTGGGAGAGCTGAGAGCTGGTAGGAAGAGTCTTCAAGAAGCTCATGAGAGAAGCCAGCAAGTGGCATGGTAGCTAAGGCACTGAATCCCACATGGCCGGTCAGCCACAATTCAAGGACCTGGTGGCTTGCTTTCTCGCTTTCCTTCTCTTTCTCGCTTTGTCTTTCTGAGGTCAGAATACCTTGTAGCAAAAGTGGAAAATAGTAATGATGACAATAAATAATTAAAAAAAAAAAAAAAAAGCTGGCAGGAAACCCAGGGGGG